AGGGGAGCTGTCAGTCTTCACCAGGCCAAAGTCCCATAGAAGCAGATACATGCAGTCCTGGACAGCATCTCTGAGACCACCCACACCTAAGTGATCATATACCCCCACTAATTAAAAAGAAAAAGAAGGTTTGGAGCATATATAGTCAACGTATGTATGTTTATGAGAGGACACATAGCAAAGGGCCTGAGAAGCTGGGCCCTCCTGAGTTCAAATGCAGATCTGTCATTCCCTAGTAGTGTGAATTTTGGCGAATTACATCACCTCTCTGTTCCTCAGTTCCTTCACCTGTAAAATGGAGCCAGAAGCCCCTTTCTGTCAGAGTTAATTCCTGCGAAGCTCTCAGAACACTCAATGACACATAGCAAATGTTCAATAAACTGTTAGCTATTATTAATAGTAGTAAATTTTGAAAAATTAATTTACATATAAACTATATATATGAATGTAAGTACTAATATAGTAAATGTTACAAAGCTTAATTTCTTTTAGATTAAAAAATAAATATAAAATGAAAGTTCTGGTAGTAAAAGTTCAACCTCCAAATGATTGTACAGTAGAAATAGAAAGAATGCTAATTTGTACTATGTATCCTGGTCTAAATCTTTACATATGTTTAAGCCTTACATTAATCCTGCGTGGAAAGGACTATTACTTTTCAGTTGTGTACCCCTTGAGGTGTTAGCACCCCCATTTTGGGAGGTAGTGATCCAGCTAAATTCCTCATAATATAGGTCAGGAGTTGACAGATTTTTCTGACCCTTCTGTCAAAAGGTCAGATAGTACATATTTTAAGGCTCTGTGGGCCATACAGTCTGTGTTGCAACTACTCAACTGTGCTGTTGTAACACGAAAGATGATACAGGTGTGGCTGTGTTCTAATAAAACTTTATTTACAAAATCAGCCCGTGGGCCGTATTTGTGGTTCACTGATACAGAGACTCAAGCTGAGGTGTAGGGGAGCCACTGTCTGAGCTCTGCTGCCCTCTTTAGCTGGAGCCAGGACAGGAGCCCAGCTCCTGAGCTGCGAGCAGCTTGTGAGCTGTGCCCTGGCCATTTGCTCCTACGTCTCGATGGAACCAGCCTCCGCGAGGCACGTGGCCTCCTCGTTCACTAGACTCGAATAGAATGATGACTGTTGTCTTCACTGCCTCGGTCCCTCACCAGAGGTGCAGACTGGAGGTTCAGAACTTGACAGTTGTTAAGTTTCATGTACAGTCAAGGGATCTAGCCGCTGTGATCTGACGGGAGAGATCTAAGTGGGACACGTTATCTCCTTGAAACATGCAACTTCCCCATTCGGCCTCCTTCACTCGCAGCTCAATTCACTGGACTCAAATGTCCTTTGTTGCCGTCGCCCCGACAAGCACCATCTCATCACTCTCTCTAAGACACACAAGTCTGAATGCAAAACTGATTTTGGCCAGGGGAGGGGCAGTGAGCTGTGTCTGTAGTGCTATTAATAACAATATATTTTTCCTAAGGGTCGAGGTATTTTGAAGATTTGGTCAGACAGAGACACACATCCTTTGTGCCGTGTTCATTTCTGGGAGTGGTGGTAGAACAGGGATTGGAAGACTGGCATTTGGGACACAATCATTAAACAGTAAACCACAAAATGATGCTAAGACCCGAGGCCCTGATCTGATGGGGCAAATCGTTTGTCCTCCCCCTGCACATCAAAGCCTCTGCTGGGAGTGGACTCATCACTCCCAGCTTCACTGTCACCTCCCTTTCCTTTGAATCCTCCTTTCCTCTCCCTGCTGCCTCCCGCACCCCCTTCCCAAGCCTCCTGGCCACTGTCCTCTCCAGTCCTTCCTGTCCTCATGGACTCGGATACGGGCTTTCTGTGCAGCCACAATTCATCTCCTCTTCCTCCTGGGAAAGCGTAAGCCTTGAGCCCATTGACAGCCACGCCTGTAGCCATCACCTCCTGCAGTGCCTGGAAGGAGCGCTGCCGATGGGCGAATGGAGTCCCATCCACTTGTAACCTTTTCCAGCCATCCCGGTTCAGGACAGGGCCAGCTCCAGGCAGAAAGATCCCATGCTGGTCAAGCTTCTGGGAGACCATGATCACCCACAGCCCCCTTCTCTCCTCGCCCACGAGACCATCATTCCCAGCGGTGGTCTCATGGGTGAATCAGGTACTCAGGCCAGGATCGGGGAGGATTTAAGGTCTGGCTCTGCCCCAGACAGGTGGGTAACTGTGGGCTAGTTACTGTCCCCCACTCTCTTCCCACCTCTACTTCTTTATTTTATTTTATTTTATTTTATTTGCGGTACGCGGGCCTCTCACTGCGTGGCCTCTCCCGTTGCAGAGCGCCAGCTCCGGACGCGCAGGCTCAGCGCCCATGGCTCACGGGCCCAGCCGCTCCGCGGCATGTGGGATCCTCCCGGCCCGGGGCACGAACCCGTGTCCCCCGCATCGGCAGGCGGACTCTCAACCCCTGCGCCACCAGGGAAGCCCCAGAGTGCATTTTTGTTTTGTTTTGTTTTTTGCGGTACGCGGGCCTCTCACTGCTGTGGCCTCTCCCGTTGCGGAGCACAGGCTCCGGACGCGCAGGCTCAGCGGCCATGGCTCACGGGCCCAGCCGCTCCGCGGCATGTGGGATCCTCCCGGCCCGGGGCACGAACCCGTGTCCCCTGCATCGGCAGGCAGACTCTCAACCACTGCGCCACCCGGGAAGCCCCTCAACTTCTTTTTAAAGACTCCAGGTGGACAGAATTAAACTCACCATAATCCTCAGGATATGATACATTCTCTTTATCGGTCAATACGCGGCCTTCCTTTATGCTTATTTATTTAATTAATTACTTTAAATTCTGTAATCAGCACCCGCGCTGTGAATAAGCCCCCCACGTGGGAGTTAGAGCCTTGACAATAACCATGTCTAACCTGTGGGTTCCCCTCCCTCCAGCCTCCTCCCATCAAGGTAACTAGCACCTGAATTCCATGCTCATTACTTCCCCACTTGCCTTTTTACAAAGCTTATGGCATCTCTATGTATTCCTAAAAACTTTATGAAAAAGGTGTAACGTTACAGCGTTGGGGGCTTGGTGTTTGTTTTTAACTTAACAGTATATTGCTGCATGTTATTCCGTTATCTTGACTACACTGTGGTTTATTCACTCGCTCTCCTGCTGATGGGCATCTGGGGGGCTGCCAGGTTTCTGTATGTGGGCCTTGTAGCTGTGACCATTCCTGTAAATGTCCCCGGTGAATACCTGCAAGTGTCTGTCTCGGCTACTGACCTAGGAGGGCAACTGGATGAGCTGTAAGGCATGTGAATTGGGGAAATACTGCCAACGTGGTTTCCAAAGTGGCTGCAATGCATGAGGAATCCTGCAAATCCTCTTCTCCAGCACTGAGTATGGACAGGCTTCTAACATATTTCCAATCATGAGTATAAAGTGGTATCTCACTGTGGCCTGACTTATGTTTCCCTGATCCCCAGTTATGTATACATCTCTTCAGATACCTAACCCTCTTCTCAGAATGCTGTCTCAGGTCATGTGCCCACTTTTTAAATGGGGTTGTGTGTGCTTTTCTTCTTACACATAAAATATATCTGTATCTATCTACAGTTTCTATATATTCTTGATCATTAGACAGTATATACATTGTGAATATCTCTGGGTAAGTGGCTTGTATTTTCCTTTCATTAAGGTGTCTTTTGATCTAGTGAATTTATCTGAGAAACAGGAATGATTCTTTTCTCCATCCTCCCCACCCCCAGCTGGTCTCCTCTCTCCTCTCTTGCCCCTCTCATCCATCTTCCCCACTGTGGCCACTGTAATCTTTTTAAAAATGCACATCAGATCACATCACTCCCCTGCTTAAAACCTATAAACGGTCCCCCTCCTCCCGTAAGGTAAAAATCAAACCCAGACCACTGCCTACGAAGCTTGCTAGGACCTGGTCCATGGAACTACCCTCCCCAAGTTCAACTCCAAAGACTCATCCCTCTGCTTTCTGCTTTCCCACCCACTGGCCTCTCTCCATCCCTCGCAGGGGCCAGACAGCTTCGCACCTTGGTGCTTTTGCACGTGCTGTTCCTTCTGCCTGGAATGTTCTTTCTCCCCTCTTCATCCAGCCCTCCGTGACCCCAACCCCGGTCTGGACCAGGTCTCCCCTGTCATTAGGTCTCATAGCCTCTGGAATGGCACTAAGTTGCTGAGTGTGTTTTGTCCTCCCCCCACCCCCCCGCCATAGAATGCAAGCTCCGTGCGGACTGGGACTGAACAGCCTTGTTTTTCACCAAATCCCCAGTGCCTGGCCCAAAGCAGGGGTGACACAGCTATCTGCTGAGTGCTTGAAGGGAGGGGTCTTGGGTCTACGGCACTAGGCTTGGTGCCCTGTGGGTTGGGGGCCCCATAAAGTTAGTTGCGTTTCTTCCTCTCTCCCTCTGCTCCCGGGGAGGGAGGGTCTGGATTCTATTGCCAGGAGCGCTTCTCACTCATCAGACCTTAAGTGCCTCTTGGCTCAGGTGTACCTCCTGCCAAGTGATCACTCTTCAGGCCATGTTTACACCAAGTCTGCTAATATCCAGTAATCAAAGATGGAGAATATGGCAACTCTTGGAAAGCCCGTTGGAAATAAGGCTTCCTAGTCACCTGAACCAACTAGTCTGGAGTCACAGAATCACCAGATCTTAGTTAGATGGAGCCCTGGTGGTGAACTGGCTCAACTCTTCCTGTCACAGCCTTTTAATTTGTCCATAGCCACTGCTTGGCTGGGACCCCAAGCTCAGGCCAGGCTTCTCTCCAAAGCCCCAGGCTTTAAACTAAGGGGATACCATCTGTTTTCTAAAATCAATTGGACCACTTAAGGCTTTTGTGACCCCTTTTCCTGTTATACTGAATGCGTTCTGTTAAAATAAAGGCATTAGTCTCCTTGTCAAACAGAATCTTCACACTGTGCTACTGTTGGTCTTATTCTCATTTTAGCCTTAGTTCATCACAGGCTCAAGTGAATGGCTTTAATTTCATCAGCGGTAGCAAGCCCTCGGGAATCTCACCATGGTGGCCCGTGGCCTTTAAGGCCCCTTGACCCTTAGATCCCTGGTCTGGAGCCAACACAAGCTCCAGCTGAAACTTATTTGTGTCCAAATAAGACACCGAGAGGCTGGGGCGAGGGTTCCACCCCTTGGCGCCCTGCTACCGTCGGGTGAAAGCACAAAGAGTATTGGGCCTGGCCTGACAGCACTTAGGGATGTGATAATAACTTTCTGTCATGGAACCAAAGATTAGAGGCCGTGGGAACACTTCAGAATCCACACCTATGTGACAAGGCGGCGCTGATTTCCCATCGTCCTCCCTGACAGGGGATCGTGTAACTTCAACTCTGGAATGTGTTAAGATACTTCTGTTTCAATGGGGGTTTGCCTGATAGCCTGGAGTTCCTTTCATATGAAACAATGATGCCCTCCCAACTCAGGAGAAACACTGCTTTCTCACCCATGGCCCCAGTTACCCCATGCACCCCGCAAGTCCACAGTGAGCACTTCCAGAGGCCGAAGACACACACAGGCCCAAGCCCAAGGCAGGGGCTGAAATACTGGGCCACTAACTAGGTGGAATGGAGGACATCAAGTTCTGAGCCAGGCTGTCTAAATAAGTCTCCTTCAGAACAATCTGCAGAGGTACAATGGCTGAGCCAGCTAACTGCTTTCTGCAAACCTCCAACACACACACACACACACACATCTCTTTCCATTTCCCTAATATCAAAAATTCTCTCTGAGTTTCTTCAGACCCATGATCTAAATTCTAGAATGAATTCAAGGAGTAGGTCTATATTATTGAGAGGAGGGTAAATTCTAACACTCCTAAGAAAATGTCTCACAGATCATCTAAATGGCCCAAAGCAAAATCGTTCATCAGGGACCCTTGGATATCCTTGAGTCCGTTCCACCAGCCTCTGTGTCTCAACATCCCAGGACAGGCCCCTTGATTCTGGGTTCTAGTCTGCTGGTCCTTCATGGGAACTTGGCTGCACTAAGGCAGCAAAGCTACCTGAGTTGAACGTGCCTAAACATCCCTCTATAAAACCAAATAACAACCCACCAAGTCCTTACGTTCCTTAAAAATTTAATACCTACAAACAGCAAATACAGGGTGATGATTAGGCGCAGGATAGCTCATGACACCAGAGGAGGACTCTTCATATGGTCACTTATTAACTACTTAGTGTGCATCTACTCTGTGCCAGCTCTGTCCCAGGCAGTAGGATATGACAATGACTAAGGTGACAAACATCTTTACTTGAAACAGTTAATGTCTAGTGAGAGATGGGTGTTTAACAAATAAATCTCTCCAACGACTTCTGGGAGTGATGAGTGTGTAAAAGGTTAGACAGGGCTGGAGGCAATCTAAGTTAGATCACTCGAGGTCATGAGGTTTCCATCCTTCAAAATTCTGAAAGGCATACATCTCTCTTGGAGAAGCTGGAGGGCAGGTTTATATCTGCTGAGTCTGACTCCTGCCCTGTCGCCAGCCACTTGGTGTCCTAAGGCACCTGGCTCAACTCCTCTGAGCCTCAGCTTCCCTGTGTGCAGAATAGGGGATAAGAGTCCCTCTCTCAAGGTCACTACTATGGACTGTATTGTGCCCTCCCCCAGATTCATGTGTTGAATGAATGTGACTATATTTGGAGATAGAACCTATAAGGAGGTAATTACAGTTCAATGGGGTCATACGGGTGGGGCCCTGATCCAACAGGATTAGTGTCCTTATAAGGAGAGACACCTAAAATATGACATAAATGAACATATCTATGAAACAGCAACAGACTCATAGGCATAGAGAACAGACTTGTAGTTGCCAAGGGTGAGGGAGGGTGGGGGAGGGATGGACTGGGAGTTTAGGATTAGCAGAAGCAAACTATTATATATAGAATGGATAAACAACAAGGTCCTACTGTATAGCACAGGGAACTATATTCAGTAGCCTGTAATAAACCATAATGGAAAATAATATGAAAAAGTATGTATATATATGTAGAACTAAATCACTTTGCTGTACAGCAGAAATTAACACAACATTGTAAATCAACTAAAATTCAATTTAAAAAAAAAAGAGACACCTAGAGCTCTCTCTCTCTCTCTCTCTTACCCTGTAGGGGGAAGGCAGTTGGTTACAAGCCGTGAAGAGAGCCCTCACCAGAAACCAAGCCTGCCAGCTCCTTGATCATGGCCTTCCAGCCTGGAAGAAAATACAGTTCTGTTGTTTAAGCCACCGGGCCCATGGTATCTTGTTATGGTTGTCTGAGCTGACCAAGACAGTTGCTGAGAGGAACTGACAGGGTCCAGAATGGCCGCATCACATAAGCAGCCTCCTAATTGCTCCTCTGAGTGAAGGATTTTCATGATGTCTTTCCTCCAAGGGGCTCTCCGGGGACTTTGAAAATATGTGATATTTTCAACAATAAAAATCCTTACATCTCTTAACTATGACAATTGTCTGGAACAGCAAGAAACAGAAATGGGAGGGTGGTTAGAAAAGAGAAGATTCTCAACAACCACACAACCACCACACAGGGAAGATATTGGTAAGGAGGTCCCAAGACTGTTCTATCTCCTGTGTTGAGATGTTTCCTTAAGCCTTTATTTTCTTCTGAGGAAGGCTTACTCCAAACAGCCCCAGCTCTGGCAGGCCTTGAGTAAGTAATGCCGTAATGCATTGTATTACCATGTATTTTACAAAAGTCTTCTGACGTTCTGGCTCTCTGAACAGAGTCAGGCAGGCATTGTCGAAACTTGCAGAGTTGACATTCCAAAATACGGTCTCTCCAGAGGTGAGCAGTGAGGCTGGTGAGGAAAGGTAGCATGTACCATGAGCAATTTGGGCTCTGCTAATTAAGGAGGGCTGAGTCTGACTGATCCTTAAGGGGAAGATTATCAAGGGAAACCTTGGAACCGTGAGAAGTAACGCTGGTGACTCAGAAAGGGGCTCTCCTTTCACAGAGCATGACCTGTTCTGTTCACTAAGTCATCTTTCAGCCCAATTTTCTTCTAGCCAAGGGTGGAATTCAATAATCCTATGCCCTTCCCAAATTTTAGAGCTGGAAAATGCATTCCTCAGCTTCCTACTTTGCAGAGTGGAAAATTCCCATGGAGCCCAACTGCTACATAGTGTGACTTTAGCCTCTGCTACGTCCCTGTGTGGTTCTCTTGTTGGTTGCCAGTGGCAACCATACCTGAATTCAGGCCTCTGTGTTTCTGGATTGTAGAAGACTGCAGTTGCTGTGTCAAACTTAAAGTCCTTTCTCTTTAGCCATCCAAGTGTTGTAACTGAACAGAGCATTTGTGAGTAAGAATTCAGTAAGTCCGTTATTAATTCACTGACCTACCTCGAAGGTAAGCAAATGCTGCCAGGGAGTGGCTGACAATAACTCCATCTTTCCTCAGAACTCTTGGTTTCCTTGGGTCTAAGTTTATACCTGTTTCGTAAAAAATGCAAGACCGATTAATCACAACTGTTCACCGTATGCGTTTTTTCCTAATCCAGGACTGCCATAATAAATAAGAAGTCGTAGAGATCCAATAAGTGGGCCTCTGACAAAATTAGGGAAGACTAAGCCAGGAAGAGCATTTAGTAAGCAGTCTCTGAAAATCTTAAGTAATAAAAGGGATTCAGAAATTCTAAAATGTGTTGGTTCCAACTTCACTCATCTACTCTACTGCAGAAGGGAACACATTTATTTTCCCATTTTAAAGGGAATGGCATTCATCATGCCTCTGGGAGATTTAATAATGTCCCACTTAACCACAGAGCTGCTGTCTGCTCTGTTGACCACAGATAAGAAGGCCTGGAATTATGGAGGGAGGTTGTGTTGGGCTACTGTTTTGGAAATGAAGCAAAATGCAGGGCGGATCTGGCTTCGGACGCCTGGTTAAGTTGCTGTGATGGAGCTTAGGGAGCCCCTGATGGGGTAGCCTAAGGGCCCTGGGGACCCCTGGGAATGTCAGACACGGCTCTCAGGCTTCCACTCCAGGGGGACCAGGATATTCGTGGGATCTGGGTGGGTGCCCTGTTAGAAAGAGCAGAGGGACTGGGAGAGGCTGGGAGAAGCAGAGCCTGGTGGAGAGCTGGAGGGCTAGAACTAGAAGAACATAGGATACTAACAATAGTTATCTCTAAGCTTTGAGACTAAGGGTGAGTTCTATTTCTTGGTGCTTTCCTGTGTGCTCCATAACAAGCACACTTTAGTTTTATTCTTAGGGGGAAAAACTTCATAAATGTAATCAAAGTAACACAAGACCAATTCTCAACCTGCAAAGTGCAACATCTTATATAGATTGTCTTGGGGGGCCTCTGTAATTTCTATCAAGACCCCCAAGGGTATGAACTCCATTCTAGATTTGATAAGAAAACCAAAACGTTCATCCCCTTATTTACAAAAGTCCGGTGAAAACCTCAGGAAGAAGGGCACATGTGGATGGAGGCACACAGGTCCAGCCTGGGTGTGGCCCACCCAGGTTCCCTATGGCAGAGGTCCCCATCCCCCGGGCCACAGACTGGTATCAGTCTGTGGCCTGTTAGGAACTGGACTGCACAGCAGGTGGTGAGCGGAGATGAGCAAGTGAAGCTTCATCTGTATTTATAGCCGCTCCCCATCGTTTGCATTACCGCCTGAGCTCTGCCTCCTGTCAGCATTATGGTGAGTTGTATACTTATTGTATTATATATTACAATGTAATAATAATAGAAATAAAGTGCACAATAAATGCAATGTGCTTGAATCATCCCGAAACCGTCCCCCGCCCACAAGCCCCGGTCTGTGGGAAAACTGTCTTCCACGAAATTGGTCCCAGCTGCCAAAAAATGGTTGGGGACCGCTGCCCTATGTGATCCTCTTTCCAACAAGCTCATCGGATAATCCAGGAGCCCCAGATTTATTTCGGAGCAGATCTTTTTTCAAGGTGATTTTTCTTTTAGGAAATAAGAGAGGGAATGGAAGGGGGATTTATCCTACTTATAATTTAAAACACAAAATGTTGGCCACCATTTGCAACCATCTGCCACAGCACTGCCATTCTCAGAGCTGGCAGCTCACACACCTTCCATCCTAACCAGTGTGCACCCACCTGCGGTCACATGGGGCTGTTCACCTTTACTTAAAGAGAAATGCTGGTAGTAAGCCATAAACCTTACCATAGTCACCGTCTTTCTGTTTCACAGAAGGTTTTAGATTAGCAACGGCTGGATCGATCGCTGTGAGTATATTCTTGGGAACTAAAAACCAAAAAGAAATATTTTAAATACTTTGTACACATAATACAACTTTAAAATGCAATGCAGATAAGACAAAAAAAGATCAATTTTCAAATCAGTACATAAATCACTCTGCTTGTCCAATACACTCACATACATACACCAACGGTACCCACATGATCATCAAATGTCCCAGAAAGGTCAAACTTTAGCCCTATCTTAAAGTATTTAAAAAAAACAACATGGAGAACAAATAAACAAGATATGGCACATCTATCCAACTGAATGATATTTAGCAATAACAAGGAACGCAGTACAATCATCTTTCGGTATCCTTGGGGGATTGGTTCCAGGACCCACCTTGGATACCAAAATCCACAGACACTCAAGTCCCTCATATACATAGCATATGATTTGCATGTAACCTACGCACATCCTCCCGTGTACTTTAAATCATCTCTAGATTCCTTACAATACCTAATATACTGTAAATGTTATGTAAATAGTTGTAAATACAATGTAAATGCTATGTAAATAGTTGGCAGTGTGCAGGAAATTCAAGTTGTGCTTTTTAAAACATTCTGGAATTTTTTTCCTGAATATTTTCAGTCTGTGGTTGGTTGAATCCACAGATGTGCAACCCACAGATACAGAGGACCGACTGCACTGACACCTGCTACAACACGGATGAACTTCAAAAACATGCTCAGTGAGAAGCCAGACACAGAAGACCACATATGGTATGATTCCATTCATATGAAATCTCCAGAAAAAGGTAAATTTATAGAGACAGAAAGTAAATTCGTGGTTGCCAAGGACAGGAGTGGGGATGGGGACTGACCGCAAATGGGCGTGAGAGAACTTTGGGGATCTTGGAAATATTTTAAAATCGGAGTGTGGTGAAGGCTGCACAGCTCTGTAAATCTACCAGAAATCACTGGATCATTTTTACTTACAACGGGTGAATTTTAAGGTATGTAAATCACACCTCAATAACGCTGTTCACTCTGAACATCAACTTCCCTGAGACACAGTGAAACAAAATGAATGGGACCAACTCAAAACTCATCACCGACCTCTCCCGGCTGCGATTCCACTTTTTGTTCACTCTCTTTAACTCACTGCTTCCTTAATAACCCTGAGAGAATTCGAAGTCTCTGTGCTAGAATGCAGCTCTCAGTATTTTAAGAAAGGATGACAGAAGGATGAAGAGAGAGGGCAGTGAAATAGACTCCTTTGGAAGATGGTTAAAGGTTCTTCCAAACTGACCTTAAGAAAAAACCATCCGATCTCAAGACTCCCCAGGCAAAGAGGACAAGACAGTAGCAGGACCCGAGCAGGGGGTGCAAAGCAAGAATTCTGAAGAGCCAGTGCACTGCAGCCAGCTGGGAGAAGGGAGAGGAAACCAAATGTTTTCGCTGCAAAAAATTATTTTTGTTTGTTCTTCGGTTCAGCTGGTATCTGGGAGAAGCGGCAACAGGAAATAGAAGTGAAGCCAGTACAAACCAGGCAAGTTCAACTGAACTGATTTTTTGGAAAAGAGCCGGTAAAGCCATCTTCAGCAGCAAGCAAACCTCATTTCCTTTCTCAAAGTGCTTAACGAAAGTCTTTTGGGGATGTCCCGGGATTAACAACCAGAGGACGTTCCTAAATTGTGAATTTTCCACGTGTAGGAGGCCCTGGCGCCTTTGTGACCATCAGCAGCAAGGGTCACTTTCCAGGGCGGCACAGTAATGGGGACAGAGGCGGTGTAAGCTGTCCACCCCTCCCCCCAGGAATGCTCCTTGGCCGACCAAGGGGCAGGCACACTGCTGATCCTGGGACGCCGGCGGTTTCCCAGACAGCTGGGCTGTGCTGCCCCAGATGCTTTCTGATGAACAGCCTCTCCATCACTTCTGCGCCCTGATTCTTCGGCAGGAGTTAAGTCCTCTCTGCAGGAGTGGTGTTTCTTTCCCACGTCTGCCTCTTGGCTTGTAGTCAAGATGCAGCCGCAGGAGGGCTGGGCTCCCTACAAATGCCAGAGGCTTTCCAGCGCGAGGAGGAATTGCTTGGAGAGGAATGAGCTTTGCAGAATAAAACATTAAATCGCCTTTGTATGCCGCAGGCTCACGTCAGGGAACTTGCTGCTTTACTACGTGAAAATGGCTCTCGTACTGGGAGAATCTTTTAGGATCTTTAAGGTAACAACAGGTGTCAACACACCTGTCAGATTCTCATATCTCCTGTTTCAAACTGATTCTGAATGAGGACAGGGACTGGGTGTCATTTACTACCACCCCTAAACCCGTCCCTCCCCACTTGAGGTCCATTTGTGAAAATGCCAGCAAACCCCTTTTCATGGAGCTCCCACCACGTGCCAAACCCTGTGCTCAGCGTTTAAACAGCGCCTCTTGTGCAGTCCTCTTAGTGACCCATGAAGATGCGTGTCATTCCCATTCCCGCAGATGGAAAAACTGAGGCTCAGAGATGAACCATTCACCTAGCAAAGGGCGAAGCTTCAACTCCTGGTCTCACATATGCCCTTACTCTTTTCTGGGATGCTGGGACGTTCAGCCTTTGGGAACCGGATACAGGATTGTTTTATTTTATTTTATTTTTTATTTTTTACATTACGCGGGCCTCTCACTGTCGTGGCCTCTCCCGTTGCGGAGCACAGGCCCTGGACGCGCAGGCTCAGCGGCCATGGCTCACGGGCCCAGCTGCTCAGCAGCATGTGGGATCTTCCCGGACCGGGGCATGAATCCGTTTCGCCGGCATCGTCAGGCGGACTCTTAACCGCTGCGCCACCAGGGAAGCCCTACAGGATTGTTTTAAAGGATTATAAAGATGGCACAGCAATTCCCACTCAGATAGGCCCCCTCAAGCCTGTTAGGTGAAACCAGAGATGATGATTCTAATGGGCTCCAGTGGTTCGCTAAATTTAGGCAGGCCCCCTTCTTGAATTTTTTTTCCCTGAGTAAATCTGTGTCAAGCCTGGATCCGGGTAGACTTTAAGAAAGAAGCCTCCACAGGTTGAAATTAGAGCCCCACATAATTTTTCACATCAGAGACAAAAAAGATCTCTGCTTACCCTCTCAATAGGTACCGAGATTGCATGAGCACCTCTGAATCCTGTCATTCCCCCATCCCGCCTGTCCCAAACCTGCAGCACCTATTCCTCCTGTCCCCAATCCTAGCACCTACAGAAGGGGGTACCCCAAATTCTGGTACCACCATCCGTCTTGTCCCCAGATCCTGGCATCCATTCCTTTTACACACAAGCCTGGTAATGAAACAGAGCAGGACCTTACGGTCTTTCTCCCCTATGTCCTCTGCCTGCCTTTTGCCTGCGGAAAAACTTTAGCCAAAGAATAAGTTTAATCAGAGAAGTGAGAAAATGCAGAAAGAAAGGCAAACAGTCAAAGGAGACCAAATAATAATAGTTTAGTCATTAAGCATAGTCGAGGACTTTTAGTTCCTTCTCAAGGGCTATAGATGATATTCTGAGCCATACCCTGTGAGCTGCCTTATAGATACTGAAACCCCCGCCAGGCGGGAGAAGTTAACTACGTGATGACCAGACTGTAGCCATGACGTAAGGTGTCACAATTCCAAGAACTGGCCTCAAGGAAATGGGAACAAACCGACCCTGGAAGTGAAGATTAATTGTACTTAAAACAATCAAGATGACGCTGGTCAGACCACCGATGACCAATTTCAAGACGACCGTCAGAGCTGACTGTGCTGTTTCTGCACGTAGCCCCTCCCTCAGCCTATAAAAGCTCTTGCCCACTGGTTGTCAGTGGGGGGAGTCGGCCTTTGGACAGGCATCCCCTCCCTCCCACCTCGCGTAGGTTGCCGGCATCCAAAAGAAAGCACACTTCCCTTTCCACCAACCTGGCCTCTTTATTGGCTTTTAAGCAGCGAGCAACTGGACCCCACTTTCGGTTACAGTACCACCATCCCTCCTGCCCCCAAATCCTGGCACCCATCTCCTGGGAGGAGCTGCAGGCCCCCGGCTGAGGTCCACGTGTTTCCTGTCCCTCTCAGGAACTGTCAGGGCGGGGATGCTGGCTGTGCCTCTGTCTTGGTGACCCTCAAGGACCAGTGGCTGTGGACCCAGGGAGAAGCCCTCCTCGTCGGGGTGAGGGGAGAGCAGGCCGTTCTCCAGGTCTGCCTCCTCCTAAAAGGAGGAAAGTCTGAAACCTATCCTGTCCAAGAGATGTGGCTAATAATAAAACCTGGATAAAAATTGAGAGTGAGGACCTCGTCCAGCCATGCATTAAAGAAGGGAGCTCCAGCGATGCATCTCCCGGCCCAATCAAAGAACGATTGCTCTGCTCTCCGAGGGGTTTGACATCAGCCAGATGCACCGCCTACAGTTCAAAAAGCAAAAGGTCCACAGCCTGAATCATTCCCCTGAGGGTACACCAAGACGCTGAAATTCTCCACTCAGCCTACGAGCAATGAGGGAGGGAAAGGCAGGATTAAAGGAAGCTATAAAATAGGGAGGAGTGTTCCTATCAAAATGCAAATTACTTACGTCCCCAGAGAACACCCTCCAAGGGCTCCCTGCTGCCCTTAGGTACAAGCCAATCCTTAGTCGCCCACCCCCCAAGGTCCCTCCGTCCTGCTCCTGTGCTCACTTCCCAGACTTTGCCTGCCCGTCACCTTGCTGACTCCTTACACACCTGGTCTCACTTGCCTCAGACGCCACTCCCCTGGGAAGCCCTCCTGTTCCCCCAAGTCACCAGGGCCTGGAATCACCACATTCCATCCTACAGCTCATGAGGGCAGGGACCACACTGCTCACAGCACTGAGGCAAGCTCTCCCCAACCCAAGGGGTCGGGTATTCCTTGGGTGGGCGCAGCAAGATTGCTGGGCCGAATAGCAAAGCCCGGTTGGACACTGCAGTCAGAAGCCAGGTAGTGGAAGAGATGTCTATTGGGGTGGATCTTCCATGAGCCTCTTAGGTAAGAGCACCTTGATTTGAGTAGGGGGTTGGCTGGGCCCATCTCTAGCAGCCATGTTTATAATCACATCACATGGTCTCTGGCCAAGGCAGATCAAAGGAGGGGGCTACTGGACCCCAGCCCAGCCAATTAAATAGCTCTCTGTTAGAAATTTGGAATTAAGTTGCCAGATTGCCAGTGTTCGTGTTGTTTGAGCATAAAAATCTAACAGAAGAATCACTCAGGCTATGGGGATAGCTGTACGGCATCCAGCCCAGGGTCAGAGGGCTGTCTGCAGAGAGGGGAGGGGGGGGGGGGGGGGAGAGAGAGAGAGACAGAGAGAAAGACAGAGAGACAGAGAGAGAGGGAGGGAGAGAGAGACAGAGAGAGAGACAGAGAGAGAGAGAGACAGAGAGAGAGGGAAGGAGAGAGAGACAGAGAGAGAGAGAGGGAGGGAGGGAGGGAGAGAAAGAGAGAGAGAGACAGAGAGACAGAGAGAGAGACAGAGAGAGACAGAGAGAGAGGGAGAGAGGGAGAGAGGGAGGGAGAGACAGAGAGGGAGGGAGGGAGGGAGAGAAAGACAGAGAAAGAGAGAGACAGAGAGAGACAGAGAGAGAAGGAGAGAGGGAGGGAGAGACAGAGAGAAAGGGAGGGAGGGAGGGAGAGGGGAGAGGTGAGGGACGGCTGCCATCGCAGTGAAGTCTCCAGCTTTGGCCCACCCTGAGGCCTTGCTTTCCTGCCCTGGCTTCTGGAGCGTTCTTCTAGCCTCAGGGTACCTCCCCAACCTCAAGCCCCTTTCGGCTTAAGCCAGCTCAACTTGGTTTCTTCATTCATATCCAGAGAGTCCCAAGTAAGACAGATTTGCTTAGAAATTAATTCCTGACATCCTCTGTTTTTGTATCAACTCCCACATCAGTAGAACTCATGCTTTTAAAATGTAAAACCTTTCATGCCCATTTGGTAATCTAAACAATATGCAGACATTGCAAATCATGTTTTAATGATTCAGGTTTCACAGTGAAGGGCCATCTGTTGGGGGGAGAAATAATTTTAAAATGTCAACCACTTAAAAAAGAAAAAAAAATGTCAACCACTCAGAAGGTGGTTCGAAGTTGCCTTAGAAGGTGTCTGCTTGGACAGTCGGGGCTGCGCTGGGAACATTAAGTGGCCTCAGGCTGAGGGTCACCACCTCCCTTTGGGATAACTCCTGGGGAACCACGCTAATGACAGGTGGCCACTGTCCACGGTCCCACGTCCGAAACCAAGATGCAAAGCCCCCTCTCTGACCTCGGCTTCCCACCGTCAAGCTGACTCACTTGGATGCCTCCCTCTGCCGTCCTTCGACCTCATCCAGACCCTTCCCCGTTGCCCAGTGAGGCTGGAGCAGCCCTCTGCTCCGTACCGGCCCTCAAGCAGCTGGCCCTGAAGGAGGGACCCACCACCGGGCAGACCAGAGTCCCCCAGAACGCTGACCGCTAACCCCCTGGGATCTCAACACACCCAGCACCGTCACCACCACCCTTTCCGAAGTCAGCCTGCCCTCGGGTCCCCACGGCCCTTACTTCAGACCTTCACCCATCTCCTCAAACCCCTCTCCCCTCCCCCAAGTCCTCACAGCGGACCACCTCAGCTCGCACTTATCTTGAGAAGGTTGAGAAGACAGGGGCCATGCAGTTGGAACCCCAAGCCCTCCCTCCATCCATTCCCAGAGCCTCTGCCCCACCCCGTTGTGACAAGGGACAAATCTTTCCCGCCCTTGTCACCTTCTCTGGACCCCAATCTTGCCCAAATAGGCCAGGTCTCCCCAGCATCTCGAATGTCTTCCTACTTTCCCAAACCTCTCAAATCCACCCAGTTTTGACCACGTCCTCTAGCGCCATTCAGGTCCGAGTCATTGCCTGCTGCTGTCTGACTGGTCCCTGCTTCCATCCCGCTCTAGCCCACCCTCCACCCTACAGCCGGAGTGGTCCTCTAAGGGTCTAATCATCACCAAATGACCCCGTTACTTAAAACTCTCCAGTGGCACCTCCTCCCAGGCCCCTCCCGTGCTAGCTCATCCACCTTCCACCTCACCCACTGCCCTCGTCTCCCCCACTCAGCATCTGCCCACCCCTCAGAGGACAGGGGTAAATTCGCCCCAGGGGAAAGTTCTCTTTGGAAAACTTCTCCGTTCCCCCACCTCCCACCAGCTAAAAGGGCCCCTCCACTGTTATCCTTCCACATGGCATCCTGTCCTTTTCAGAAGCATCATTTATCACAGTGGGTAACGACACATTTCTCTGGTTATTTGTTTAATGCCCATCTCTCTTCCCCAGCTGATAATTCCATGAGGACACGGACGTCTTCTTTTCTTTTTTAACTAAAACACGCCCACAGTGTGCTGAACGAGTGAATGAGGGAGAGGGAGCTTGGACTGGAACACGTGACCCCTAGCTTCTGAAAGTCCACCTTCTCTTAGCGAACAGCAGCCTTAGCCTGGGAACTGCCCTGGCCTCGCCTGTGAAGGCACACCAGGAAATCCGCCTTATTTGCAGGTTAATGTCCTGCCCTTCCCTCAACGCTCAGCTGGGGAGGCCTGAAGTTGCTAGAACTTCAGAGTGATCTGTCTGGTATCTTGGGGAAACTCAGCCAGAATGGGCTCCACGCTACCCAGAGCTGCTTTACATGGGAGCCAGAATATAGACAGGAGAGCAAATAAAACCATGCTTCCTGGAATGTGAGTGTGGGTGCTGTTATTTTGGGAATCCAATCATGTAGTCACTGCACTGTGCCTATAACAGCTTTGATATTGCAGAGGACAGCGGTCTGAGCTCAGGAGAGAAAAGGCTGGGGATGTAACGAAAGATTATTGGGCCATAAAAAGGAATGAAGGACTGACACGCACTCCAAATAGATGAACCTTGAAAACATATACTAGGTAAAGAAGTCGGTCACAGAGAACCACATATTGTCCGATTCCATTTATATGAAATGTCCAGAAGAGGCAAATCAGTAAAGACAGAAAGTGGTGGTTGCTTAGGGTGGGACTGGAGGGTGAGGGATGGGTCGGGAAGTGACTGCTAAAGGGTCCAGGGTTTCTTTGGGGGGAGTGCCGAGAATGTTCTTAAATTAATTATGGTGGGAGTCGCAAAATTCTGTGACTCTACTAAGATCACTGATTTGTACGATTAATGGGTGAACTGTATAGTTTGTGATTTATAGCTCAATAAAGCTGTTACCAAAAAAAAAAAAAAAAAAAAAAAAAAGACAGGCTAGGGGTATCTGGCAGGGGGAAAGGGGTTTCCAGGAGCAAAAATATTGGCTTCTTCAGTTATGATGTTCTTTGCTTTCCCTTTGCTTCTATACTTATTTCCAAAACAAAAACAGAAACAAAAAACACCTTTAAAAACCAGTTCACATGTCAGGATTACAAACCAGAAATCCACGGCACCCTCTGAGGGTAATTAACAGCTGATTTTTAAAGGCAGCTTTTTTATAAAATTAGAATCGAATGAATGAGCAATTTCATTTTATTATTTGAAGACACTAGGAAAACAAAGTGATGCTGTCATGTAACATATTTAATGGCTGCGGGGTAAGCATGTGATGTGTTGGTTTAACCCCGGGGGTACGTCGATAAAACGGCTGTCGGCAGCGCAGAGAATTAGTCATTTTACAGCCTAAAGGCTGGGATGGAAGATTAACTAGGAGTCAAGCAATACTGAGTGAATGAACTTGTGTGACGTGCCCATAAATTTCAGAGCCTCCTAAGAACCCAGCTTACAATCATTCTTCTCAGTGACATCCATTTTATCCCATTTGCTTGTTCTTTCCCTGCCCACCCCGCCTGCTGCCCATCTGATTGCTAAAAGCACTTTTAAAACAAATGTGGACCAGAGACAATTCGATCGCTTATCTGAGGCGAATGTCATAAACCAGGCTAAGGGATAGGAGAAAAGGCTCGCGAATAACTGGGATGACGGCACAGTTTCAGGGTAGAGTGAATGCAATGGTTTGTTGCTGGAAAACTTCTGTTCACGTGCTCACCACCTCCCCAAGGGGCAGGGTCTCCAAGCAGCTTGTGGAGGGTGGATTCTTACCACACGCGTAGCTGACGGTGAGGTATTTCTTCACTCCTGGAAGACAGGGGCTTCCGAAATGGTGATTGTTGACGAGGATTTTGCATCTCTGCTTCCCATAACACCTCCTGGATAATACTTGCAAAGCCGAGTAAGACAAGCAATCTGAGAGGCAAAAAACACCAAGAACTTCATTTTAGCTGGATTCCACGTATGGCCACCATGTAGCTTCTGTTATTTTCTGTAAATAAGTATACTGAGCTGGATTGCACATCTCATGGAGATTGTTTCTCTGATTATTTTCTGTCTCATCAAAGCACCCCGCACGGGCTAAGTGTCAATACTACACAGGAAGGCCTGGAAGGGCTTACTTTAATCAGACTGCTCTAATGCTCTGCTGTCACTGGTCGGAAATCCTTATGTATTTTTGAACAAGGGGCCCTGTATTTGCATCTTGCACTGGGCACTGCCCCTGTCTCCCCAAGTCAGGTAACGGGCCCTGCATACAGGAGAGGCAAAACATGCAGAACACTGAATAAAGATTCGTATTTCTTTTATGAGCGTTACCTCTCTGAAATATTTTAGTTATTGGTTAATTTTGAGAATCCTTTTCCCTGTGTGAACATAAGCTCCATGAGGACGGGGACTATTTCCATTTTGTTCCTTATCTAATTCCCACAGCCTGGTCCACTGTGGAAATCCAATAATAACGAATGAATGAATGAACAAAAGGATAGATGGATGAATAAACATAAGGACATGGTTTTCAGCACCCTGGCACGATGCCATCACAATTAGTAAATATTAACTGATTCGTGGGAGTCGAGGGGCTCTGCGTGAGCTGGAATAGCGGGCATCGGCAAGGAAGATGCAGTAGATGAGCCGGAAAAGCAAAATGGAGCAGGACCAAGCTACCTCTGAACGCTGAGCTAAAGATTTTGAACTTTATTCTGCAAGCAACAGGGAGCCTAAAAAATGCCTTGATGCCGCTTCCTTTGGGGACAGCGTATGGGATGCCCTGGGAGAGAAAAGGAACCAAAGGCAGGGAGACTAGTTCAGAAGCAATTTTAAGAATACACGTTGGGAGGAGTTAAGGGCTTGAAGAGAAGGGAATGCAGGAGAAGAGAATTCTAGACACCTCGCAAAGTTCAGCTCTCACCATAACAGCTAACATTCTGCCAGGCTCTGCTCTCAGCACTTGTATGTGAGCTGATACAGTGTTTCAACAACCCCATGAGATAGGTTGTTTATTATAATGTCTTATATTTTAGAGAGACTATATATAGGATATATTATTATGTATCATAAGTTGCTTATATAATCGGTAATAGGTTAGTTAATATCTAATAGGTTGTTTATATTACATATATGTTTATATATAGAGAGAGAGAGAAAGAGAGAGAAAGAGAGTGTGTGGGTGTATATATATATATAAAATATCAATTTTGTGAATGGGGACACAGATGTGTGAGAGGTTACGGAACCTCATACAGCTAAAGAATGAGGACAGCAGGGTCTGGACGTGAACACAGGGGAAAGGCCCCCAAGTCTGCAGGTTTAACCTTTTAACCTCTGAGCTCCACTCTTCAGGTCTTCAGTGGAGGGGGGGTGAGGGCCCCACTGAGGATGAGTCAGACCTTCAGCCTGGGGACAGAGGAGATGGCGGTGCCATTGCCGTGGACAGGGGAGATCAGTAGCAGTAGGCAGTTGGGAGGACGAGATGGTAAATTCATTAAACTAAAACAAAACAAAATAAAAAACTATTCTGCCTTTCAGAGGGGAAGGACCATTCAGGAAAGTTTTCAGATCCTGAGATGCCCATGGGACGTGCATGCCCGCAGAGCCCGAGGGCTGATGCTATGAAGCTGGTCTCAGGGAGAGCACAGGCGCCCAGCGGCAGAGACCTCCAGTCACAGGACTTTTCTTTTTTTGGCTACACCACGTAGCTTGCGGGATCTTAGTTCCCCGACCAGGCACTGAACCTGGGCCGTGGCAGTGAAAGCGTGGAGTCCTAACCACTGGAGCGCCAGGGAAGTCCCCTCACAGGACTTTTCTTGTGCTGTCTGTTCATGTCTTAGAGATGACAAACTCCTCTACTCTGTAAAAACAAAACCCCTGCAGTCCAATCCCGGAACCTGTCTCCAGCCTTATCGCTTTCCTTCACAGTCAGGATTCTGGAAAGGTCCTCCATGCCGGCCACCTCCGCTGTGTCCCCCTCCACCCACGTCCCAGCCATTCCTCAATGTGCCTCTGCCCTCCACACACCCTGACAAGGGTCCCTTCCCTCAGATCACAGGGACCTACTACTGTCCTAGCAGAGAGATGTGGCCGGCCCTAATTCTCGCCCATCTCCGGAACTCTGGGTGCCTGAACACTCTTGCTGGAGGGTTCCTCCCTGACCTTGGCTGCCTGGTGCCCTTCTCCCCCATCTGTCTGACTGTTCCATCCCAGAGACCCCTGCAGGCCTGCTCGCCCCACAGGAGGTCCTTCCTCAGCCTGGGCTCTCTTCTTGCACCTGCACACGCCATCTGGGCCCACGTCCACCTGGACCATCGGAAAACTGAGGACCCGACCGCTTCCAGCTCCCATAATGGATCGCTTTCACTGTTCCCTCAGGAACCTCTCACTCCTCACGTGACATTCATCATGTTCCCCTCCCCCACCAACACCCAAGCGAAGCAACCTGAGCTTGCTTTTCCCCCACATACTGCTCTCAGTCACGCTGCGACATCCTCTAGGCAGCCCGGCCAGAAGCCCCGGCTCCCTCCTCCAAGGTCTGATGCTCGGTCGTAGAATCATCCCTCCTCAGTTCCCAGCTGCAGCTGCAGCTTCAACCCTGTCACTTTTGCAGGAAATCTTTTTTTTTTTTTTTTTTTTTTTTTTT